GACCTAATGGTCCATAACATTGCAGGGTAACAAGGAGCTGTATGGACCCGTACACTGGGGTAACCTTCTATTTATGTACTGTACTGTAAGTGCACATGAGCCAATTGTGTACATTGAGCCTGCAGTTTCTGACACAGGAAGCATGGATGCTTTATTACCGTGGTGCTAACCTTAACAAGGAGGATATGATGAGTATAAATAAATATGGAGACTGCCTCCTCTCAATGTTTCCATGTCAGCCATAAATAGGTATGTTACCAATCGTGACGTCACATTTCCTAGTTTTGGTCACTTGTTCAATGGTGGGCTTGCACTTTCGTGTCAGGCTGAAATTGGGTTTTTAATCTTTAAAAATCCAATCCTCATTGGATATCGCTGATGTCATACATTAATTTTTAAGCAGAAAAGTAAATATGAATTTCTAAAGATAATACAAGTACAACCCTATGTTAGATAGATAAGTAATTAATATTTTGACCAAATATGAAGAAATTTGACAGACCGCCAAGTGATTTTTATAAGCTGGGAATTCAGCCACCTACCCACAAACCATAGTGCTATGCAGGCCCTAGTCTAGAGAGGCCTAGCCTAGGTCCTCCTTCCTAGGAGGGCTAGGCCTAGGCTAGAGGGGCTAGATAGAGGGGCCTAGACCTAGTAGCTATGAATAGGTAGGAGTAGGAGGCTTGACAGTGACACAGTACCTTCGAAATATTTTCTTGACCTCCAAAACACTCTATCATTTTATCAACATTTTCTACTTTCCCAGGAAATTCAACACAAACGATGCGTTTACTTGAATATGGCAATGGTACATTCTGATCCGTACCTTCTTTTGCCATGTTTTTGCAAACAAACACGCATGTAAAGGTTGAAGGTTATCTTTTCCAAAATCAGAGCCGTAGATCTACGGCTCTGTCCAAAATGTTTGTAGGGCGCCCCCTGTCTAACAAAATTATAAACTTTGCTGCGCCTCAGCTCTCTTTTTAATTTGGTTTCAGACCAGACAATATTGCTTTATGAAAACTTTAGCCCGTTGGCCTAGCCTAGTCTTAATTTAATACACTAACCTATAAAGCTAGTAGTAAGTATATTTTTGACATTCAAACATATGCCTAATATAATAGATTATATCGACTATCCATCCTATCGCAAATAGTTCGGTCTGGGGGCTAGGCTAGGCCTAGCCTAGGGTAGGGGCCTAGGCCTAGCGGTAGGCTAGGCCTAGGTCTACTTAATAACCCTAGCAGTAGTAGCCTAGTAGGACCCTAGGCTAGGCAGCTTTTATTTGTTTATCCAAATTTTTATTGAAAGATTACTAGCATTATTAAAAGGCATTTGAATTGCCGGTGATAATCTACATGGCAGATTTATCATTCATCAGGGGCGCAGTTTGGCATGCACCCTCCCCCTCCCCCACTAAATGTTTCAAACAAAATTATATTTAAAATTGAAAAAAAAAAAAAAAAAATTATATTCATATTGAAGTCTTAGAGTGTATTTCCAGGTGCCATAATCATAAATTGTCTTCCCTCAGCCCAACAGGGCTGAGGTAGTCTAAATAAACCTTCAATCTAATTTGTGATGCCCGTCTTTTTTTAAATTTTTGGATCTACCACTGATAAAACAATTCCTATATTGCTTACGCCTAACCCCAATTTTTCTTTTTTGTTAAGATTTACTTGGAAATTCAAAGAGAAGATAAAAAATGGTTGGAAAACGAACAGCTTCAGAGTCAAATAATAACAGAAGTGATAAAAGGTGATTAGTATCAGTTTTAACAGGAATAAGTTTGAGACAGCACTTCACAGACTTATCTCCTAAGTATTTTAGCTCAGTTGAAAATATATGCTACCGCTTCAGTACTTAATTTAATCCCATGCATGCAATTGTCATTTATTTCATATACTTCATATATAATAATAGATTGTTTCATTTAATGATTGTGAGCCAGAGAATATTAGTCTGGTACTTTATTGTTCTCTGTATAGATTAGACATCATCTTTAAATATAATTATATCATTGGAAAGGACTATATAAAATTGTAAATTTGTAAAGTTACTAACAATAGCATTGATAAAAAATTAATGTCAAAATGATTTTTTTTTTAAGGAAAAGGAAAAGTTGCTCAGCCAGTGAAAAGCAGTCATCAGTATTTAATACAAATTTGCCAGCTGTTAAGTATGTGCCAAAGTTTAAGAAAAAGAGGATGGTCAAGGAATCCAGTGAAATAGAAACCAATGTAGATAATCAGTTAGAAAGAAAAAAAGGTGAAAAGAAGAATAAATTACCATGTAAAGAGTTACCAGAATTGATGTCAAATGATGTGAAAATAGATGTACCAGATAAGAATATTGGAATAACTACAAATACTGACACAAATATGGAAATTTGTTTAGTTCCAGTAAAACCAGCTTTGTCTGGGGCTGAGGTAAATGAACATGAATTAAGAACTGTGAACAACAAAATATCATCAGAACTTTGTTCAGAAAATGAGCCCACTGAAGTGGAATCCATCAAAATTACACAAATGTATGACTACGATAATAATAACAAGAAACATAATCCAGAACAGAAAATTGATGATCCCAGTGTTTTAGATTATGGAATGGAGACAGGCAAGAAGAATGAACATCTGATAAAAAGAAAGAATACAGGAAGTGTTAAAAATGATTTAATTCATTTTAATAATGAAGTAGACGTGGAACTAGAGTTTCAAATTATTAAAACTGATGATGGGTCCAAGAAACCTTTTGCAAGTAATAAGGAAATCACAACCGATTCTTGTATTAAAGAACTTGAACTGACAGGAGCAACACATGACAATTTCTTGACTAATTCAGCTGGCAGCTCTCAAATAATTGTACCTCCTGCTAGCGAACTGGTGCAGTCTGCCAACAGCATCCAAAATACACGTACATCTGAGTCCAGTAGACGGATAATTGAAGAATCTGCTATAGACGTTAAGGATGCTATTGCAGATTTCAATATGGAGAGGACAGGACATTCTGATGATTATGCTGCTGCTCATACATCTGTGGAAGTCAATGATGAAGAAAATGACGGACAGGATGATGCTGATGGTGAAATGCATAATGCACCTTTTGATCTGCAGTATTCTGAAACATCTAATAATGAGAAACCAGTACTATACACTATTAATGAAATTAAGAGCATCAAAAATGTGAATCCTCATGTTGGCGATACTAATCAGTTCTCTGAATCAACTGATACTGGACCACTCCTAGATACTGAGGATGAAACAATTACTGAAGATAAGAAAATGAATGCTCCTGCTGTTGAGATGGTAGCGATATCCAACAATAGTGCTGAGCAAACTGATATCCAGAGCAATCAAATTCCTAACAAGACCAAAACTATTACTGAAAACCAAATAATCAATGTTCCACCTGACTTAGCAGTGACAGCCACTGATATTTCCATTGAAGATCAAGTATGTGATATTCCAAACATCCAGAGCATTGACAGTACCATTATTGGTAACCAAGTGATCAATATGCCTTCTGGTATTGAAAAGACAAGACTTCCTAATATCATTACTGATGATTGTGTACCTCTATCAGGTGATGTCAAGGACATAAAAACTATTGTCAATCACACCAACAACATAGCTAAAGAACAAATGATCTGTGAGCCTTCTAGTGTTGAAATTAAAAACCCAATGTATACTGCTCAATATGGCAGTAAAAATACTAAGAGTGATATTGAGAATGTTGCAGACCAGATGATCCAGGTGCCGTCTATTGAGATGAAAAGCATTTCTGTTGTTGCTGATGATCAAATATTGGGATCAACACACACTGCTGTTCAAGACATTCCAATTACCAACAAAGACACAAGTAGCATGCCTTCTCTCATTGCAATGATAAACCTCTTTGACATTGCAAAACCTAGAGTGTTGGATCCAACTGATACCGACGTTAAGGGCTTCCAAATTTCTGATAATGTCACTAACACAAGTGCTGAACAACAGATGAATGCGCCATCTGGTCTTGAGATGGCAAGCCTTCCTGAAGTTGTTACCGATGCTAAGAATGAAATATCCAAAGCATGTGATACTGATGTCCGGTTTATTCAGGGTGCAACACTAGAGACAAAGCATATTTCTAATGATCAAATAATCACTGACTACACTGATAATATACATATGGAAAAAATATCTAGCAGTGTACCAAATGTTGATGCTGAAGAACAGAGGATGTCAACTTGTGATATTGTGGATCAATCTAGTAGTCTCCAGAAAATAGATGTAACTAAGAAATGTGACCCAGATATCCCAACTGAGGATAATGTTGATCAATCTATTAATCTTCAACCGACCAACATGTGTGACAAGGAGATTGCAATCGAAGGTAATGAAGGTCAATCTAGTAATTACCAGCAAAGAGTTGCAACTAAGATATCTGACCTGGAAATACCAACTGAAGATAATGAAGACCATTCCAGTTATAATTGCCAGCAAATAGATACAACTAAGATGTGTGACCACGAGGTGCAAGCTCAGGATAATGACGATCAATGCAGTAATCCCAAACCAATGAAGAGACATGTCCAAGATATGCCAGTTGAGGATAATGAAAGTCAACTTAGTAATCTTCAGCAAATAGATGCAACTAAGAAGTTTGACCAGGAGATATCAACTGAGAGTCATAAAGATCACTATGGTAACCTCCAGCAAATAGATGCATCTGAGAGCTGTGGCCAAGAGATGCCAATTGAAAACAATCAAGGTCAATCCGGTGATCACCAGAAAATAGATGTAACTAAGAGCTGTGACCAAGAGATGCCAGTTGAAGATAATCAAGATAATGTTAATGAACTCCAGCAAATAGAAGCAGAGATGCTTGAAATAACCAACTCACAAATTTGTCAAATGGAATTGGAATATTCACTGGATGACTTAGGGTATGACTTGTTATGGTTTTCTTACTTGCACACACTGACAAACTTACACACAGGGGCACTCACTTGCATACATATTCACACACATACCTGCACCTGGATCACACAAGCTGCTGCCTCAAGTCAGATCTATAAAAAGATTGTCTAAGCCGTAGCTTCCATCAGTCATTTCCATCAACAATTAACACTATAAAAATCAAAGACGGGCAAAAATTTACTTTCCCCATAATATTTGTAGCCCTATGACTTTTTGATTTTTGGAGAATACCAAAGATAGTTAAGTTACTAAATTGATTGATTGTTTTGATTTATTTAATAATAGGCCTGGGCATTGGCCCAGAAGGCACGCGTTCCACAACTGGTCAAAGATCCATTTAAAATGCTGGGTCGTATGAGGGGCCCCAGATAGAAAATGTAGGTCTACCGTCAAGGCGGATGCAGGATTTGGTAGTAGGGGGTGCGTACAAAAATTTGAAGAGATTGCCGGAAATTACACATTTATTATAGTAAAATTCATCATCATCACATCTCTATAATATTATATTATATTTCTTTTTTATCGGTGATTTTAGGCAACCATAGAGATTTAAGTAGTATGTGTGATGAACCATGGAAAATATAACTGAAAAACATTCTCTTTGATTTATTTACTTTACCTACTTTAAAGCAGTGAGTCCACAACCACCTCTGCCCCACCATGATAAGGGCTGAGGTGGGTGAGAAAATAGTACCTTAAATGGCCGGAAATGACACTTTTATATAGTAAAATTCATCATCATCACACCATCATGTCTAGATGAAGCGCCAGCAAATTTCTCATGATTTTTAATCAGGGATTTTCGGAAACCACAGAGATGTACTGTAATTATTATGAGTTATGTACCATAAAAAAAAACTAAATTAACACTTTCTTTGATGTATTTAAATTATTTTACCTACCTCAAAGCTGTGTGGCCACATTCACCTCAGCCCCACCATGGTTGGGGCTGAGGTGAGAAAATTTAAGGAAATAGTACCTCTAGATGGCTGGAAATGACACAAAATTCTTCATCATCACTAACATTATATAGTTAAAATGAAGTGCCAACAAATTCTCATGATCTTTCATCAGCTATGTACCATAGAAAATACAACTTAAAAACATGTCTTTGATGTATTTACTTCAAAACTGCGAGTCCACACGCATCTCATCCCCAACACAGTTGTGGCTGAGGTGGTGAAATTTGGGGAAATTGTACCTCTAGATTGCCAGATATGACACTCTTTATATGTAAAATTCATTATTATCGATCTAATTAATCGCTTTGATGTACCATAGAAAATAAAACTTAATTGTCTTTGAAGTATTTACTTTACCTACTTCATGTGCCTAAAACCAATTTTATCTTTACACGCTTATTCTCATACTTCTCAAATTATAATAAAGGCACGCGCACTTGAATCGTGTATGATAGGTTATTCAGATGTTTGTGGGCAGAGTATACCAGTATCTTGCTAATAAGATGTACTCTGGCTGTAGGCGTACCGCGCTCTTTCGTTAAAACCTGAGTCATTTATGCAGTTTATTTCAACAATTTTCAGGCATATCTTCTTGATTCTCAAAAGGTGAGGGGGACCAACCCTTTCCCTTACAAATTTGTGGGGGGGGGGGGGAACGTGTTCCCTTTCCCCAGTGATCTGCGCCCCATGGGTCCATGAAAAGTCCACATCACCTCAGCCCCAACATGGTTGGGGTTGAGGTCCGAAAATTTTGAGAATATCGAGCTCTGGGTGCCAGGAAATTGCACTCTCATATTTTAAAAACCTTACCAATAATTCATAAAAACAATGTAATACAACAATTATTTTTCTTAATAGAATTTAGGAGTGTGAGACCGCACCATCTACACCCCCCTCCCCTGCATCTGCCCCAGGCTCTGCTAGACCCATGGACTGAGACAGGCTGGAGAAAAGCACTCTGTGAAGGCTCGGTAGTTAAGTGATAGATGGTAGTAGCAGGAGGGCCATTTTTGAGGGGGTGGTTCAGGTCTGTGCCTTCTGAGAGCTCACAGGCATTATGCTGGTTTCCATTCAGAATATTTAGTAGAGTCTGTAATATCTTAATGCATCACAACTTGGTTAATCAATAATGTATTTAACCAACAAATCAGTCAATAAATTAAAGTCAGATGGCAATGTCATGCACTGTACTTTACATCATACAATATTCTACTGTATATAGTACTGTACTGTACATTTCAGGACTCTTGAAGTATTTACAAACATAGGCATCTCCCTTTTGTTGTTAAAATGAATGAATCATTTACTGTAGGTACACAGTGTTTGACTTGTTGAGCATGCAATCATTTGATTTCTCCACCTGGTCTGCCTTTGGCAATTGCTTGATGTTGTCATGTGTCTGTATTCAATTCTTTTTTTTTCTATTATTTCTCTCTGTTGCCTTGTGTATGTTTTTAAAATTGTGTTATCTCCATGTGTCCAAG